AGAAAATTAGAATACGCACTGACTATTATGGGCTGGCACAAGATGGTAATTGTGCAGAGAATGATTATGCAAATTTAAAGGTAAAACAGGGCCAAACAATGAGTCAAGAGACACTTAGCGGTGAGCACCATAAGTAGTGCCAGGATGCATTTTCTTTTTTTTTTTTTAAATGGGAAACCATTGACTAGCACAAGGGGGGATGGGGTAGCTGTATACTGAAGGTAAATGTTATTTTGTTATCTGACCCTTGTGGACCTCCTGAAACCCATGTTGGTTTAAGGGGGTCCATGGTTCAGAACTCCTGAATTAGATGATATTGCCACAGGGCAACTGACATCACAAACCATAAAAAGGAAATATAGAACATTGACCTATCAAAGTGTGACTGACTGCCCTAAGATGAAAGACAGAGAAGGGGCCCTCACTCCATATCATAATGCTAGAGTCCAGTGATTCCTCAAGATCATTCTGTGACTGTAAATGTTCTAAGATGACTCTTGTAATGGGTTTTCTGAAATTTGGAAACCGAGGGAACAGCTACAGATACTGTCTGTGCACTGCTATTGCTGTTATTATTTTCCTTACCTATTTGGACATTTGGGTTTTGAATGAAGAAGACATTGGTCACCTCTGCTGCATCACTGGCCAAAATTCCCTCTTCCTCTTTGAAGACATATTGAGTACCAGCAATCTAACAAACACAAACCTTAGGCAAACAAAAGAAGGGTGACAATGATGAAAAATGTTTCAATGAAATAGAAAAAACTCTTTAAAGTATCATTAATGAAAAATACATGCATCTGTGAATTGGCATCAACATATATGTGGGCATACATGTCTGTAAAAAGCTGGTATTATTGATTTAGTTAATGGGGGTGATAATGATTCAACAATACAGCTTCAGAAATACAGCTGAGTTTCAGAGTGATGCATTTCATGTGCTGTGATTTGTCCAGTTATGGATCTAATAAGTGACTGAAGTTTAGCCATGATATCACTCAGACAACACATCAACAGGCAAAGTAGTTTTGGAAAAGGGATTGGCACATGTGATGATGGTAATTTGATGGAGAGCAGGATTGCAGCAATAGAAAATTGGCACTAGGGAATTGTGTGCTTGGCCTGACTCATGAAAGGAGTGTTCTATGATTCACAATTTTTGTCTGGTCTACAAACACTACAGCTTTAGCTTTGTCACTGCACATTGGCCAAACGATGACAATGGATTTGGCATATAGTATGTGGAAAGAAATATGAAATGTCAATACTCTACTTATCATAAATGTGGCAACAGCAGCAAACATCAAACCAAGAAAAACGTTGCTCCAGGTCGGTCCACTCTAAACACACCCCACACATCTTCCAATTGGGTGCCAACCCAGCTCGCAGGCTACACTAGGAACAGTAAAAGATATCCTGATTACTGCACTCCAAATCAACCCACTTTATTGTGCTCATCAAGACAAAAACATCAGGCAAAAATTACAAAGAGGGAGTGAAAGGTTGGCGCATTTTACGCTTTCAGTGCTTAATCATAACGCCAAATGTGTCAACCTTTCACTCTCCCTCTCTGTGTATTGTCTACCTGATATTTTTGTCTTGATGAGCACAATAAAGTGGGAGTGCAGTCATCTGGATATATTCTGTTGTTTAGCAGCAAACATGAATTGTCACCTTAGCAAATCAGCATTTAAAATGGAAGACGAAAATAAGTAATTGGCACCCAAAGGGATAATTACTGTGATCTCTAGCACTTTCATGTAATGTGTCCCCAATGGCAGCCCCCAGCATGTCTTCAATTTTCAAAATCTACTGTAGTGTGCCTGCAGCCTGTGATTGAAAGGCAGCAGCCCAAATCCTAAGGGGGTTGATCGCCAATATCCACCATTGAGTACAACTGATCAGAGGGACTTCTCCCTACCCACTCATGAAACCCCCCACCTGCGGCCAGTGACTGATTCAGTCAGTCCAGCGCAGTCTTCAGCACAAACAAAATGCAGTCTATGACAGTCTTCTGTAGCATTACATATGCTAATCATAATGTGCAGTTTTTTGGTATTGTCAGCATTATCTTTGAGCACCCTTATACTGTATGTAGTAAATGGGCCTTTACTGCTGTAGTTGATGCTCATTTGTGCAAGGTCCCCATTAACAGCAGCCACTACTCTTCACTGCCCTTCTACCCAATATACAAGACATTAAAATACAGCATGCTCCTTATTCATACGGGGAGATCCGATTCCCTTTATTTCCTCTTATTAACTGCTACAGATGGTGGGAAAGCATTTTCCTTTGTCAGAGGTGATGATAGAGATAATCAGGCATGGCAGCAAGATGGGGCAAAAAGCAGTGGACTGAACGCTGAATGACATACTTATAATCTGAAAACTAATTTTAAAACATATTTGTTTTATATTGTTTTTTTTTTCCTTTCCTTTTTTAAACATTTTCTTTGTTTTAATATGTTGCTCTTCTTATTGCGTTTTAAAATACATGTTTATTTTGATCTTATTTTTATTTTCAATAATATAGCATAAGACTTTTATCAAATATTTTTTCTCTTAAAAGATACATTGTGTGCACATAAAATACGAGACTCACTAGGCAGCTAACATAGGTGATAGGTGCAATTATATAGACACATAGACTGCGCCAAACACAGTTCAATCCATAAAATGTTATAGACCACTTGCTAATATAATGAACATCTGGTGAATGTGAAGTTTTACCTTTGGTCTTAAGGAACCCCAGGACTTTTAAATTAGGTGGTACTTTAAATCTCTCTGAGATTTCTGTAAATTCAGATATTTATTAAGAAAGTGTACTTAGCTTCAAGCATAAAAAAAAAGCTCTTAAACTACAGATGTGTAAATAGGTTTCTGTATAGGGGAGCACAGTGCTTAAAGCGGTATTAAACCATAAAACAAAACATTTATTATAGTGCAGCTTACACATTCTTAGATGTGTTGGCTGCATTTGTTTTTTTTTTTAGGCTTTCTTTCTTTTGTTTTCACCTGGTGATCTGGCCAGTAAGTCTGTTGTTTTTAAAGAGAACAAGCTCTCTTGTAATGTAACAGTTAGAGGTATGAAACAAATAATTTAACACTGACAGGAGTGCTTACAATGATCATCGTTTATCTATTTATGTAAAACCTTTATCCCAAAAGGAAAATAAACTGTTTTTGTAACTGTAGTATATCGTGTGTAGTGGATATATATATATATATATATATACTGTATATATACAGTTGCAAGAAAAAGTATGTGAACCCCTTGGGATTACGTGAAGTTTTGCATGAAGTTTTGCATGAATTGGGCATAAAATGTGCTCTGAACGTCATCTAAGTTACAACAATAGAAAAACACATTCTGCTGAACATAACACTACACAAACATTAGATGTTGCCATGGTTTAATTGCACATAACATGTAAACATTCACAGTGCAGGGAGGAAAAAGTATGTGAGGCCCTAGCTTAATGACTTCTCCCAGAGCTAATTGGAGCCAGGAGTGAGCCAACCTTGACTCCAATCAGTGTGATGATATTGGATGTGTTACTGACAGCTGTCCTGGTCTTAAAAAACACATACCTGTTTTGGGTTTACTGGTTTCAAGAAGCACTGTCTGATGTGAACCATGCCTCGCAGAAAAGAGCTCTCAGAAGACTTACGATCAAGAATTGTTGACTTGCATGAAGCTGGAAAGGGTTACAAAAGTATCTCCAAAAGCCTTGATGTTCATGTGTCCACGGTAAGACAGACTGTCTACAAATGGATAAAGTTTAGCACTGTTGCTACTCTCCCTAGGCATGGTCGTCCTGTAAAAATGACTGCAAGAGCACAGCGCAGAATGCTGCATGAGGTAAAGAAGAATCCCAGAGTGTCAGCTAAAGACCTACAGAAATCTCTGGCACATGCTAACATTTTTGTTGACACATCTACAATAAGGAAAACATTAAACAAGAATGGAGTACATGGGAGGACACCACGGAGGAAGCCATTGCTGTCCAAAAAGAATATTGCAGCACGTTTGAAGTTTGCAAAAGAGCACCTGGATGTTCCACAGCACTACTGGCAAAACATACTGTGGACAGATGAAACCAAGATTGAGTTGTTTGGGAAGAACACATAACACTATGTGTGGAGAAAAAAAGGCACAGCACACGAACATCAAAACCTCATCCCCACTGTAAAACATGGCGGAGGGAGCATCATGGTTTGGGGCTGCTTTGCTGCCTCAGGGCCTGGACGGATTGTTGTCATTGATGGGAAAATGAATTCCAGAGTTTATCAAGACATTTTGCAGGAAAACGTACGACCATCTGTCCGCCAACTGAAGCTCCGCAGAGGATGGGTGATGCAACAGGACAATGACCCAAAGCATACAAGTAATTCAACAAAACAATGGCTGCAACAGCACAGAATACGCCTTCTGGCGTGGCCCAGTCAGAGTCCAGACCTCAACCCGATTGAAATGCTGTGGCATGACCTTAAGAGAGCAATTCACACCAGAGATCCCAAAAATATTGCTACACTGAAACAGTTTTGTGAAGAGGAGTGGTCCAAAATTACTCCAGATCGTTGTGCAGGTCTGACCTGCAACTACAGGAAACGTTTGGTTGCTGTTATTGCTGCCAAAGGAGGGTCAACCAGTTATTAAGTCCAAAGGTTCACATACTTTTTCCTCCCTGCACTGTGAATGTTTACATGTTATGTGCAATTAAACCATGGCAACATCTAATGTTTGTGTAGTATTATTTTCAGCAGACTGTGTTCTTCTATTGTTGTGACTTAGGTGATCTTCAGAGCACATTTTATGCCCAATTCATGCAAAACTCCACGTAATCCCAAGGGGTTCACATACTTTTTCTTGCAACTGTATACATACATACTATATTGCCAAATAATTGGATTCAGGTGTTCCAATCACCTCCATGGCCACAGGTGTATAAAATGAGGCAACTAGGAATACAGGCTGCTTATACAAATGTTTGTGAAACAATGGGTCACTTTCAGGAGCTCAGTAAATTCAATCGTGGTACCGTAATGGGTTGCCACCTGTGCAATAAGTCCATCCATGAAATTTCCTTGCTACTAAATATTCCACGGTCAACTGTGGTAATTTAACAAAGGGGAAGCAAGTGGGAACAGCAGCAACTCAGCCACGAAGTGGTAAGCCACGTAAAATGACAGAGCAGGGTCAGCGCATACTGACGCCGCCAACTGTATGGCCCCTTAGTTCCAGTGAAGGAGGCTCTTAAGGCATCAGCATACCAAGAAATTTTGGACAATTTCATGCTCCCAACTTTGTGGGAACAGTGTGGGGATGGCATCTTCCTGTTCCAACATGACTGTGCACCAGTGCACAAAGCAAGGTCCATAAAGACATGGATGAGTGAGTTTGGGATGGAGGAACTTGACTGGCCTGCACAGAGGCCTGACCTCAACCCAATAGAACACCTTTGAGATGAATTAGAGCGGAGACTGCGAGCCAGACCTTCCCATCTGACATCAGTGCCTGACCTCATAAATGTGCTTCTGGAAGGATGGTCAAACATTCCCATAGACACGCTCCTAAATCTTATGGACAGCCTTCCCAGAAGAGTTGAAGCTGTTATAGCTGCAAAGGGTGGGCCAATTCAATAATGAACCCTGGGGACTAAGATTGAGGTGCCATTAAAGTTCATGTGCATGTAAAGGCAGGTGTCCCAATACTTTTGGAAATATAGTGTAGATAGATAGATATTGAATGAACACACATAGGCCAGTGACAAATCCATTTACACATTAAAAGGGAGGTCTTTAAGATCAATAAAGCTGGCTAACTACTCCTATGCTAATTCTTCTTAACAGGCAGATGGTACCTGTTTACAGTAACTGTAACAAGAAAAATGTTAATTGGTCAGATGTTCAGTTTTTTACTGTCCTGGGCAGTGATGGGCTGAACCTCCCCCTGTTTGGTTCGTGTTCGAACATTCCAACCTAATGAAAGTTCCACCACAAACTTCGGACAGAGGGGACAATTTACTAAGCGGTATCTTACCGCATCTGAGTATGCGGTGCACAGCTACTAAACACATTCTTTAATGTTTCAGCTGTCAGTAATTAAAAAATAAAAGAAATGTGGACCCTTTGGGTCTGGTATGGATTTTGAGGGGAACTCCCATGCCAAAATTAAAAAAAAAATGGTGTGGGGGTCCCCCACATAATCCATACCAGATCCTTATCTGAGCATGCAGCACGGCAGGTCAGGAAAGGGGGGTACGAGAGCGAGTGCCCCCCCATGCCCTCAACATGAGGGAGTGCTTTGGTGCAGAGGGGGGGCTCACCGAAAAGCACCTTGCCCCCATGTTGATGGGGACAAGGGCCTCTTCCCCACAACCGTGGCTGGTGGCTGTGGGGGTCTACGGGCGGGGGGGGGGTTATTGTAATCTGAAAGCCCCCTTTAACAAGGGGGCCCCCAGATCCCGGCCCCCCATATGTAAATACTCATGATCACAATGTACTGTTAGGGCACAGTGCATTGTGGGGCACGGCAGGCGAATAGCCCTTACGGAATACATGAACAGCCGATGTTCGAGTCGAAACTTACTTTCAACTCAAACGTCTAGCCCAACATTAGTCCTGGGTAACGGGGAGGGGGGGGGGGGTTGTAGACACTGTAGCTTATTATAAATCACAGAAAGCACATGCCTAAAAAGACAACACCATTTTGGAAGCTACCTAGGTAACTATTATAGATTGAAAATATGTTGGACAGGTAGAATATCTCTATGTTTGCTAACATTTCATCAGAGCAGGATTGGGTACGTTGAAGCCTTTTGATCATTGTATTATTTGCAAATACTCTATGGACTCTGTTCTGTGCTTGGACCCAATAAATGTAAGCCTGTCTGAAGAACCAAGTTCCTGCAGGAAAAATTCATTTCTTGGCTAGAGGAGTTTTAGCATTCCATATCGGCTAACGAACTCTTGCCTCAACAACAATAATTATAATTATCTCTGCACATCCGTGTAATATATGACAACAGTAACTGCTTATAAAGTGTAAGCTGGTGTTTGGCTTTGATTTGTCAGTGTATCTAAGTCTGCTAGTACATCTAACATTCAGCTCCCCCTAGATTAACAATGATGCTGCTCAAAGGTGCCCCTGTGCCCATTCATCCAAAGTGGGGACACTTTAATACAGGAGGTTTGCTACTGGCCAGATCACCAGGTAAAAAACAGGGGAAAAATCTAAAAAAAAATGCAGCCATCTAATAATTTATAAGTTGCAATATATTACATTTTTGGTTTTGGGTTTAATATCACTTTAACCTAAAACCTTCGTGCTAGGCACAAAAATAACACTCATATTACCTGTAAAATATAACACTTGTAGATTGAACTGAACACAGATAGACAGTTGCGCACTACAAATCCCATAGCTCATAGTCTATAGGTTCTAGTCCATCTCAGAAGTGAGCAAAAGAGGGTGGTTACCTTCCAACATACAGTGGAACAGGGGCGGACTGACAACTCATGGGGCCCCCGGGCAATATGGGATCATGGGGCCCCTGTGTCCTTGCCCAAACTCAAAAAAGCCTATGAAAAAGGTACCAGGGGCATCTCATGGGGCCCCCTACTGACCCCAGACCATTGGGCAGTGCCCAAGTTTCCAAATGGTCAGTCCGCCCCTGCAGTGGAGCCATGGACAATGAACATAGACACCCTCTAACAGAAGACCAGATCTCAGTAGAAAAAACAAAGGAATTTGAAGGTTTGCAGGGTGCTGAGAATAATAAAAGGAATTTTTAAAAAACACATACATGAATACATATAAAAAGGAGAGATATAGATTCAAATAAGACAGCATTGCACTGCTTAAAAGGTCTATATAAATAATTTTCCATGGATGCCTGAGGCTGATTGTTTAGAACCAAGAATTTACCTTACAAAATGTACTTAAAATATGTACAACTAGCATCATCAAAAGATTTCTAGGAGATTATTTCTTATGAGTAGAGTGGTACATTGTCAATTGTTTTATACACACAGAGCTAACAAGTGATAAAACTTTTATGTATTCCACAGAATGAACTGGATTTATAGACTACTAACAAATGTGTGACTGTTTATTTGACAGCTGAAATGCATAAAGGAAGCAAAACAGATTTTAGAAGTATTAAAATAAAGTGAAAATGCAATGAAAATACTCCTCTTACCAAAGACTTGCACACAACTCGCTATCAGCCAATTAATGGAGAGAACTTATGAGACCTGTCAGACCTGGGGAGAGCTATGAGAGCTGCATTAAGTGTATGGCAGGTGCAGATTACCCAAAATGGTGTTGTTAATGTTTTGCTCTAATGGCGACAACATCATTAGAACTTGGATAGTGCTATGAGAGCTGAATTTCATGAAAATGTCTGTGAAAGGTACAGTACATGTTATAAAAGAGAGCTGTAAGTTCTGGGTTTCTCAAAAAGAAATTGCAGCAAGAGTGACACATTATCTTTGAAAACTATAGGAGAGCTACATGCTATCATGTAGCCACCCCCAGACTTCAATCCTTATTTTATCCAACATCCTACATAGTGATTGCTTGCAGAATCACCTGGACAGATATGATAAAGGAGATATGTGCTATCTGAAAAAATGCTGATGGCACTGCTTCTGAAATAATACAAGGTGGCGAGGCAGGGCACTGTCATCACATTCTCCACCTCATTCAATCAGAGAATGCCTTGTATTCACTGAGAAAATGCAAAACATTCTCTGAATGGCACCTGTTCCTAGCAGCCAATCTCCTGGTTTCACGTTGCAGCAGGGCATTCTCTCGGTATAGAACTTGTAAACTAGTGGAGATCACTGTAGTAGGAGTGCCAACTACAAAGATTTCCAGTAGAGATGTGCACCACTGAAAAATTTGTTTCATTTTGGATTAATTCATTAAGTCAAGTCATTCCATTTTGTCATATCCATGTTAGAATAATTTGTTTTTGGAATTTGTTATGTATATTCAGACTATTTGCATTTTTTATGAACATATCATTTCAAAAGTCAATAAAACCGCCCCTTTTATAAGGGCTAAAAAAAGTCTGTACAGAATCATAATTTTTCATTTATGGAAAAAAAATTAATTGTCACCTATTCTTCATAATAAATATAATTTGTCATATTAAAAATAGAAATAAGCCATGGGACATATCAAATATAACAGTAAAAATATTAAATATTTCTTGTTTTCTAGTAACAGGTATTAAGAACAGAACCTATCATTGGCTATTATGTGTACAATGCATATAATTTCATCAGGAAACATAATATGGACCTACAATAAAAGGTTCATATAAAAGAACAAAAAAAATCCAAAAATCTAAAAACAGCAAAATGGAACAAGAATCAATAAATAGGTAAAAGAATAAATATTTAAATATATGACAATGTTCAAAATATTTTGCAGTATATGAATTTAAAGTGAAAAAGGGAAATGCAATGAAGAGGGCCTCCACTGTAAGTGCTTTGTTAAAGAGATTCTATAACTTTGTTTAATCCATATAGAGTGAGAATGCTGAGCTGGTATATCCAGTAGGACTCTCTTTGGCACAGTCTGGTGTATCTATTACAGTTGATCGATTCTAATTGTGGCGGTTATTAGGTCCGGATTCCTGTAGTAATGTGTAGAAAAGTGGTGAAAGACACTGTGTTCTGGGACTGCATTTTTGATGTTGAACCTGTTTGTTGAATCTCTGGCAAAATGTTTGCATGGTTCTTGAATGGTTGTTTGAATGGTGTGCTGCGCATGTGTGCCCCATTTGGGGATGGCTCCTGCACACCTCCGGAGTCCAGGTCGCTGCAACGTAACATCCTCATCCCTTTGGATCCTCCCACCTATGGTACATGCATGCGCACTTGACGGTGATGCTCTGGTGGCCCTCTTGGACTATCTGAATGCGGATTGGAATCCACAGGTGGACAATTGCAGAAACAACTATATAGGGGGGTCCCTCCTGGAGTGGGTATGCCCCATTGGTTGGTAATGATATTGGTATCAAGTACCCGAGAGGGGCAAGAGACTGCGATCATAGAAAGCATACATTTGATAAGAGTGGTAGGTGTCTTTTGTTTTCCCCTGTATTTGGGGTGCTTTAGTATTTGCCGGGGAGGCTCGTTTAAAACGTATTATGGATGTAATTTCATTACAACTTATCATATTTTAACGCTTGGTTGTTTATTAGCATTTAAAATAGTGTATTCCCTTGGGAAAGTATTGGGATAGATGAAACTGAAAGATGAAACTGAAAGCAAACTAGGTAAATGTTTAGATAGTAATGGATGAAAAGATATATA